GAACTCAGGAAATGGGGAGAAATTGAAAAGTCCTCCAACTGGAGAGCAACTCCAGGTCAACAACAAGCGAAAAGGTTCATTAACCATTCGCAGAACCGAGCCAAAGAGCTACTCAGCCTCAGCAAACCAGAGCTAAAGCTTATCACAGGCTATCTCACAGGACACGGCCCTCTGAGGTACCACCTCGCCTGGCGGAGACTGACACTTGCCGCTTTTGTAACAATGCGACCGAAACCGCGGAACACATACTTTGCTCATGTGAAGTATTAGTCCGCCAAAGGCTGAACCACCTAGAACAGGTCTATCCCACACCCCGTCAGGAAAATTGTAGGCTTCATCAGAAGTCTAGGGTTAGAGGACCAAAACTAGATAAGGGTAATCACAATAGATCTTCTAGGTCGCAGTGATCGAGAGGTCTCCCAGCCTATATCTAACGACACAATAGAGTAATTTAATGCCAATAAATCATTATCAGTCCACTCGCCCGCATAACATCCGAGGCCATTTTTCTACCTAAAGAATCAACATGATTCTAAAAGTTCAAGTTCAGTTCAAAGTTTCACTATTTTTCATCCGAAAACCTGAATTACTCATGAATTCTCAACATAATATTGTGTCTTCGACATTGCATCATCAATTCAATTTCAATTGTTTGAATGCCTACTACACGAGGAACTGTTATACAAGATGCGTCTATTGTTTCATGGCCAACTAACCATAAAAAAATTGAATTTCATAATTTAATAATTTCGCGATGGTCACAATAATAATTATCATAACATCCTCATAACACTGATGATTATCTATGCGAACGTTTCGGAAAGAGGGCTAGAATGATTTTCAGATGAGAGAACTAATTGGAGGGCTCAGATTACAAGTGAACCAAGTCCATTTTTAGTCATTATTGAGTTAGCAACGCTATAACATGAACCATATAATATGTGAAATTTCAGTGTAATAATGAACCAAGTCCTAGCTCTGATAATATCCACTAGGCAGCAGCAAGTTCTGTTGTTTAGTGACAGATTGTGATTCTCTTTCAGAATAGAACTGAACCAAGTCCAGGTGATCTTTGTTTATAGTACACATTTCTGTGTTGACGTGCTTCAAACATTTCATTCAAAGGAATCACAAACAGGAAAAAGGATACTGAGGGTAGGAAAATCAATTGGCTTAAGATACGGTGGTTGAGGTTTGAAAAAGGAGCACCCTTCCAAATAAAAGTAAATGAATCTTTCAGGGTTCCGAACCTTGAACATCTCGAAAAAGTCCAGTTGTAGGCCAGGAAGACCCGTGCAAGTGCAAACCAAATTGACTGTACAGCAGGGTCAGCTCTACCCATCCAGAAAACAAATGACTTCAAAAAAATAAAAGGAGGACATGTTGTCCCTACTCCCTTACATACCCCCAATGCATCATGGATACTTCAGAAACTTTCCAGGCGATTAGACAACTCGTAAATCCAAGGCAACGAAGCAACTGAAGGAAATAACACCGATGATGAGTTTTTTTATGTCAATCAACTGTTTTTTCCAACTAAGGAGGGACAATTTGTTTCAATATTTCTAATTTGATCTCTAAACAGATGAAAAAATAAATTATTTCAACAACACTTGGAGTTGGTTCATCATCTTCCTCAAATTCTTCTAAATACATTTGAACCAAGTTCACTATTTCGGAATTTTTGGGGTTATAATATGAAATTTGGCCAATAAAACCTATGTAAATGTCTGAGTTACTCCTTGAACTTCTTGAAAATATGCTTCTGAAATGTTGAGAGGTAATTTTGTTATGAAGCTTCAACTTCAAACTTCTGTAGCTCAAAAGAAGCTGAAGTGGACTTGGTTCACTTGTATTCTGAACCCTCCAATTTTAATTAGAAACTAGTTAATCTCTCCTTCAAAGGACGGCGGAATAGCTCAGTGGTTCAGCGCTCGACTAGCAATCATAACACCGAAAGGTTGCTAAGTTCGATCCCCAGCAGAGAAGAGAATTTTAATTTATAAAACAATTTATAAATTCTAATTTTCGTAGCCTTGGTCGGAGATGATTCCGCATGATACGTTGTTGTGTTCCAATTAACAATGCTGCTCCTTAGGTGGCGTATGGAGTTAGTAACAAAGCCCACACATACCACACATGGGCTACAGGACCTCTCGTAAGGTCGATGGCCAGTTGGTATGTGCTTATGTGCATACATACCAACGAAGTACATTATACTAATCCTTGGGAATACTTCCATTGGCAAACAATTCCAAGGCTTCGCCAAATTCAAAATATATTGACATAATCAAGTTTTGATATATGTGATTCAGTCATTATATGTTCAAGAAATCCATCGTCCCTTTTTATTGTGACATAGAGGTTAAGTTAGAATAGCGTGAGCTAGACTTCGCCTCTCAACATTTTACTTGTATTATTGTAATATGTACATTACAAAAACAATGAAGGCAATTTATTATTATTATTATTATTATTATTATCATCATTCTATAGACTAACGAGTTTTGGTAGTGTTGTTCGACATTTTTCAAGGTTAACGACGAAGGATGTGCTGATCGGGCCTGTGATGGAGTGATGGAATTATAGCAGAGATTTCTGGAGAACATTTCCAGGGGAAGTATCCATATAACAGTGAAAGGTCTGCGACTTTTCTACGGTGTTCTAATGGGGCCAAAGAGTCGGTGATTGTGGCATCACCCACTAGGCGAATGGCACTTCTCTGGATGGAATCTAAGAGCATCAGCGTATGTTTGGGTGCTGAACCCCATACATGAGAACGGTATTCTGAAACTGGCCGGATATGTGCTTTGTAGATCATGAGGAGCTGTTGTGGTATAAAGCAGATTTTCGCACGGAATAAGAAACCGAGTTTTTGTAAAGCAGCTTTTGCGATGGATCGAACATGATTTTTCCATGAGAGAGTATTGCTGATGGTAATACTGCGTTCCGCCTTTCTAGAGAAGATACAGGCTTGCGTTTTGGTGGCGTTAAATACAACTAGGTTGTTGTTTCCCCACACTGTAATTTCCGCAAGATCTTCATCGACAGCGTTGGCCTGCCCTCGTCGCAAGTTCTTAGACCTCGGTCATGTTAGCTCCCGGCCGGCCAGCTCCACGCGGCTTTTTTCCACCACGGTCAATCTGTTCCACAAATTTCGATTCACACGTTTATAGTATCTTTCGGGATGTTTGATAACTTCATGACTCATCTTCCACAGGAAAATTGATCTCACTGAGCGATTCGTATGGTTTAATTGATAAAATTTGAAATATTCAGATTGATTGAAATATGATTATTGATGGAAGTCAAACTCGAAACGATTTCTGAAATTGGCAAAAAGAGTACATGACTGATTATTTTCGTCTTCTCATTTCAGTTTCATGCGAGGTTTCATGACTCCAAATACAGAATTGATGATCTCGAGATATGATATTTTTCTTTAGAAAAAAGTGGGCGATCACTATCAGCATGAAGACCAGCTCCAAGGTGTTAGGAGCTCGATCATTTTCAAACCGCACGATAAAGTTTTCATTTTCAGAACGAATAAGAGGATATACAGAGTTATGAGGATATAGGGACTGTCAATATGATTGCAAAATGTCATTTACAAATGTCCAAAACCGCTTCGTTACTGATATACGGAGTGATTTGTGGATTTTGACGAGTATGCCGTATTGAATACAAGGATTACCTGATTGGATGTTTGAATCATCATCACACTCGTGAAAAAAGGCGTCCAAAGCCTTCATCAAGCTAGACGAAGGAAGGAATACAAACACAATGTAGAGAACTTTTCTGTCTCATTATTTCGACGTATGAGGGCCCGCTCCAAGGTTCAGAGTGCCAGTTCCTCTTCGATACTGGTCGACATAAAATATAAAATCAATTTCATACTTGCAAAATGGACGGCCAAAGCCGGCATCAAGCTGGACGAATAAAATGATATGAAGAATATATACACAATTTTTTTCATTTCATTATTGCGACGTATAAGGGCCAGCTCCAAGGTTCAGAGTGCCGGGTACTATTCGATACTGCTCGAAATATAAAATCAATTCCATACTTGAAAAAAGGACGGCCAAAGTCGTTCAGTTATATCCATTTTCCTGTGAAGAATGAATCATAAAGTGATCAAACATCCGAAAAGATACTATAAACGTGTGATTCGAAATCTGTGGAAAAGATTGACCTTGGTGGAAAAAAGCCGCATGGAGCTGGCCGGCCGGGAGCTAACATGACCCAGGTAGTTCTTAGTTTTCTGGAAAGAAATGGGAATTCTAGAAGAGAACGGTGGTTGCTCGGAATTGATGGCAATGGTATCAGACGATACTGTTGAAATATATCTGATTTTACGAAGCTATATGTCATATTTTGATTCAAAAATTTCTTTCTTCTGCTTGATCCGTGAATACAATAATATATTCATTTCTCCAACGAAAAAAAAAAAGAACAGATATAAATGATTTCTTCAAATTGCTAAAAAACCGTTCTTACCTTATTTCCCTTGGTTCTCACGATGTTCTCTCAACATTACAGGATATCCCTTTTCGTGGGAACCAGAACATAAAAAACAGTAAATGAAATGGGTAATAGAACACGGAGAAACAACACGAAATGGTTGCTTCCAATAGATCGTTGATATAAAGTAGGAATAATGTTGGTGCCAAGATTGATCCTTGTGGAACGCCTATGGTATCAGATGATACTGTTGAAATATATCTGATTTTACGAAGCTATGTCATATTTTGATTCAACAATTTCGTTCTTCTGCTTGATCCATGAATACAATAATATATTCATTTCTCCAACGAAAAAAAAAGATTAGATATAAATGATTACTTCAAATTGCAAAAACCTTTCCTTGATGTAAAGAATATAAATATGCTTTGCTCCATAAAAATAAATTTTGTTTTGGTACCAGTTGATGCCCGAGTCTAAGGAATTATAGGAAAATAGCATAAATTTGTGGAAATTCATACTGGTTAATTTGTTTTCAGCCATGTCACTAGAACCTCAGGGTGGCTACCTCCAGCTGAGGCATGGAAATGTGGGGAGAATGCCCTACCTTATGGGTGGGAAAGAGCTTTGGACGATTCAGGAAAAACGTACTACATCAAGTAAGTACGTACCTACCTAGTTAGAAGTTGGTAATTCCAACTACGAAATAGACACAATGCTCAAAGTGGAATGAAAGGCTAAATAAATACAAGAAAGCTCAAAGTCATTTCCACAAAAAGAACAACAATGGCAGATAACGACAGAAAATCAACTACTTTTTCGGCCACGCAGAACATTTACATTTGCATTGTATTTATTTGAGCATTGTGGCTATTTCGTAGTTGAAATTACGCCAGTCGGGCAACCAGCCACTCCCGTATGGAAATTTCAGTTATGGAAATTTCAGTTTTGGGTATTTCTTTCCTTCTTTTCTACTCAGATGGCGTTGCTTTCATATTGTCCATGAAATACGCCTCTGGGGGAATATAATGCCGTCTTGATTTTTGTTTGGCTAGCCAACGCTTAGTAGGCGGTCTTAGGACTGCTGACTGGAGACTGCCCTGCACTGATGAGAGTCAAAGAGCTCGAAACCAGTCTGTAGGTGTCTAGCGTGGCCTGGTTGAATCGAAATCAATAGGCATTCAGGAAAGAATCACTTGTATCAGTATTCGTTTATACGAGTCGATGTATAGATTTCAGGAGGATGTAATTCAATATTCTGCGAGGCATTAGCCGGGAAAGTAGGTGTTTTTCTCCCGAAATCTACCTTTGTTGTTCATTTTATGAACATTGTGTAGTAATGACTTTGAGCTGTCTGTATTTACTTGCATTAGTATTCGTGCATACGTATCGATGCATAGATTTCGAGAGGATGTAATTGCTTGAACTTTTTGTATTTATTTAGTTGGTAATTATTTTTGAAATTTTTGCCAAATATTTTTCAGAAGAAGGTGTCACTGACTTATCGAATATATCTTTCAAATCTAGAATTTATAGGTTAGAGAACAGTTATATGAGTTGAGAACTATTCATCCTTTTGTGTAGACATTTCTTTCGTGCCATTTCAAAGTCTAACTTTTCTTGATTTTTCCTAAATTTTTTCACAGTCATCTGAACAAAACTACGACGTACGAAACGCCGATGGTAAAAAATGTGGAACCTTTGCCTAAACCCGAACCACGATCGGTGACGTTGGAGAGATCACCAGCCTTAGGTTTCGGATTCGTGGCAGGCTCGGAGAAACCTGTGATAGTAAGGTTCGTCACTGAAGGAGGGCCCAGCGTTGATAAGGTGAGTCATTATCGACACTGTTTGAGAATACCGCTCCGCATTAGGTGTTCAGCACCAAGAAAAATACGCTGATGCTCCTAGATTCCATTCAAACACAAATCATTCGCCTGGTTGGTGATGCCACACTCATCATTTTCTTGACCCTACCTAGCAACTACAGACCGATCGCACTGCTATCTATTATTTCAAAGATCATGGAGATAGCTATGAACATAGAGCTCATGAAATACCTGGAACATTCAGGTATTATCAACGATAGGCAATATGGCTTCCGTCATCAGAGATCAACTGATGACCTGCTCGCTTACGTCTCACAAGAAATGCAAGACTTTCGAAAAAATATCCAATTTTTGTTGCAATGGCCAATTTAGGAGAAATTACGAAAACGTCCCGAGATGAGGTCCCAGTGTATCATAATATGACTGACTTTTGATCAGAAAAAAATTCTCGTGTTCTGGTATTATACATTGGAAATGTAGACCATAGTGTAATGGTTCCACTTCACACCCTGTGTAAGTTTTGTTCTGCGGACTGTTTCAGAGTGGTCTATCTCTTTTTGAAGCCGATGGAAAACCGCATGAAGATCGGTAATTTTTTTCAAAAAAATATATGTCTTCGAAAGAGAGTCAAATTATGAGTGGTCCATCTAGTGTGTTGAGAACTGTAGTTGAAATTATGAAAAAAAATAACCACCACGAAAACGAACATTTTACAGCCACACACTCCGGTTTTGCCTCATTTTTGTTTGAAAAGACTCAGTGCCGGATTTATACTCCCTTACGCCGGGGGCTAACTTAAACGATGCCGCCGCGCCGCCGCCAAATATTTAATTTGCTATTTTCAGTTTCAAAATTCAAATAATCCTTTCAATGCTTTTTTACAGCATATAACATGAAATCATCATGTACAACGAATCAAATTATATTTACTTCACACGTTTAACATATTAACAGATGAATACTAGAATACTTTTCTTGATTTTCTTGATGCAAAGTCGTCAATGGCATAATCAAAATTCAGATTTAATAACATGTCACTTGAAATTGATAAGATATTCAATGTATCCTCTACCATGGAATTCCAAAGGTAGTTTTTCACTCTTTTTAAAGTTGTGAATGACCTTTCACCACTGGCATTACTAATCATCAGGGATAGTAAAAAAATTCTCAGTAATTGCAAATATTCAATCAATTAGGAAATTGTTGTGATTATCCCTGAAACAAAGCTTATTCGTGTTCCATTCCCGTCTTGAGAGCGTGAAGTTCCCGGAAACCTTTTGTTTATCGATCTTTTGCCGTTTCCAGAATGCACCACCTTCTTTTTTACTCATTTTTTAAATTTCAGTTTCAATATTTACTAATTTTTAGTACAATTAACAACAATACCAACGACAACCTATTGAATACTGAACTCTGATTTTGTTTTTTGTTATTGAGTTAGACGAATCACGAAATTACATCTACTCTACTGAGTAGAATGCGGTTTTTTTCTCATCATCAAATAATAGTATGTATACCGCCGCCGCTTTTGTATTGTAGGGTCCACAGGGATTTTCACAAAAACAGTATCTCAACCAGTCAACGACTGTATTGCTTCTTGCTTTTCCTCTTTTCTCATTTTCTCTACCGCCTCTTGAAATTCACCGCTCAGGGCTGATAGTCCCATAGCCCCCCCCCCTAAATCCGGCACTGAAAAGACTCCTCGACGATTCACATTGAAATTTCAAAACAGAACCATGAATAAAGAGATAGGTATGTGAGATGATTGAATCAATAATAATTATCACTGGACTGAATAAAAACTACCCCTTTCATATACAATAAAACATTCCTTGGTTATAGTTCAAAACCAGTTAGATTCAACTGCGTTAATAATTCTCTTCTTATTCTTATATTATATTATACATACATCACATTTAGACCCATATGATCAATCATAATAGAAGTATGTAGAATTACTTCGACTCGTGAGAAGTGTTTTTTTCTCAAATTGATGAAGAAAATAATCTTACTAAATACAACTCGTCCCTCAAGTTTGATTCGATACTGTTTCATCTTCATCACTAAAAATGTTTTATTTGAGGCAAAATCATTCAAACAAACCGAATTACATGAAACCACTCGTCCTACGGACTCCTGATTTTATCAATCGGTTTGTTTTCATATTTTTGCCGAATAAGAAAGAAAGAAAGAAATTGAAAGAATTATCGATAATATTTGCAGGACCCGTGGTATCACCTTCGATAATTTTAGATATGTAGATGATTTCGGTAATATCGTTAATATCAATAATTTCGAACATTTCGACAATGTCGATAATTAAGATTACTTATTCGGTGATTTCGATAATTTCGAAAATCTGAAAATATCAACAATTTCGATAATTTCGAAAATCTGAAATTATCAACAAATAGCAGACCTCGCAAACGTTGTTTTGCTATATACATTATTTCTATAATATATTTTTTCAGTTCAATATGTGTCAAGACACTATTATTATTTTATTTTCTACTTCATTTTAGTTTCGCTATCTAAAGATAAACTGTGCTTTTTTAGTTTCTCAAACTACCATTTATTTCAACTCCTTTTTAGCTCACCAGAATTTCCAAATTTTGACGAGAGAATCATAATATCCGAATCCTAAAACCCCAGATGAAAATTTTGAATAGAATCGAACATAATTACAAAACTCGTCCGCAATATTGGATCTACCATCTTGAATTCCCTAATTTTGACGAAGGAATCATAATTATTGATCCCGAAAACGCCCACTTACAAATTTTGAATATATAGAATCGGTATATAATTACATAACTCATCCGGTATATTGGTTCCACCGTCTTGAATTTCCAAATCCCGCCCTTTCCAAATTTTGACAAAAGAATCATAATATCCGACCCCGAAACCACCCAGATAACAATTTCGAAGAGAGTCGGATCATAATTACAATGCTCGTCTGCCATATTGGGCCCGCCATCTTGAATTTCCTAATTTTGACGAAAACCCCTAGGTAACAAACAAACAAACAAACAAACAAACAAACAAACAAACAAACAAACAAACAAACAAACAAACAAACAAACAAACAAACAAACAAACAAACAAACAAACAAACAAACAAACAAACAAACAAACAAACAAACAAACAAACAAACAAACAAACAAACAAACAAACAAACAAACAAACAAACAAACAAACAAACAAACAAACAAACAAACAAACAAACAAACAAACAAACAAACAAACAAACAAACAAACAAACAAACAAACAAACAAACAAACAAACAAACAAACAAACAAACAAACAAACAAACAAACAAACAAACAAACAAACAAACAAACAAACAAACAAACAAACAAACAAACAAACAAACAAACAAACAAATCTTTGTAAAATTTTCGAAAAATGAAAATTGTTGAAATTCCCTCAATTCCAGCTTTTGCCCGGCGACCAGATCCTGCGCGTCCAAGGCGAAGACGTCGCCGCCGCCCCTCGCGAGCACGTGATCGCCCTAGTCCGCGCCTGCGCCGACACGGTCGACCTCGTGGTGTGCCAGCCGGCGGAGCGTCGCGGCGCCGTCCGAAAATCGACGCTGCTGTCGGCCGGCAAAAGGGCGAGGCTGCGGTGCAAACCGTCGCGGGTGCGATTCGCCGAGTCGGTTTGCGTCAACGGAGCACCCCTCTTTCCGGTGAGTTCAAAAAAAACATTGGAAAAAAAATGCTGTATGTGATTATTCGGAACGTATTCCATCAAAACCGTAATTTAGCGGAGCAGTAATTCATCGGAATGTAAAACATAATACCGTATTTCTTAGGAATAGTAATTCATCAGAACTATATTGTCTTACTATGTATTGCTACCATTATTATCTTACCTAATAAGCTTTATCCTATTATTTGTATTTTTTTTTACTATTTTATATCAATAATTGTAACATTTCTTCTCTCTCTTTTTCATATATCTGACCTGAAAGAGCTTTTTAGTGTAATTCTTTGCCAATAAATAAACTAAACTAAAACTAAACTAAGCTATTACACTGGTATTTCATGAAAATCGTATTCTGACGGAACTATATTTCACTAGAACCGAATTTTATCAGGACAATTAACCAGAACCATACAATGTCGCGACAGTAATCTGTCAGAATCGTATTTTGTCGGAATGGCAATAAATCATAACCGTAACTCATCATGATAGTCAATCATCAGAACTGTAATTCGTCGAAATTGTATTTTGTCGAAAGTGCATTCTATCGAGACCGTGAAACTTCATAATCGTATTCTAACGGAACTGTGAAATCATCAAAACTGTATTTCATAGGAACCGTACTTCACTGGAAACGTAATTCATAGGAACCGTATTGAAACATAACGATATTTCGTCAGAATGATACTCTTTGGGAACCATAAAGAATCACTGAATATCAGCGCATTGAATCGACATTGTGATGAAGTTTTCTGTCACATCCAGATTCTTCGCAACGAAATATTGTCCTGATGGAAAAATTATTTACTGTCGCTATGAAATATGGTTTCGACACATTGATATCCCGATGAATTAGAGTTCCTATAAAATACGGTTCTGATGAAATACAATTCCGATATTTTACTGCCGCGACGAATCACGTTTTTGTTCAATTACTGTTATGATCGAATGCGATTCCTATTGAATTTGAATATCATTCTGATATATTAAATTTTTATGACTTTCGTGTTGTTATTTTACATCCCTTCGAAGTACGTTCCTATGTTCTACATTCCGATGGATTACGATCCAACAGAATACAGTTCCGATCAATTTCATTTTCTATGAATAACCAATCCGATGAGATTTATTGCTATGTATTATATTCCTATACTTTATGTACCGACGTTTTAGGTGTCCCCGTAAAAAAAGTGTTACCACCGTTAAAAACTTTCACAATTCCTTACAATGTGAATAACACAGAACCACTTTAAGATTCTTTCTTCTGCCATAATTTGAGGCAAATTTATTACCCGATTGCCAAATTAATTGCTCTTCGATTTATGTAAAAAACGTGAATAAAAGTTTAATCTCAAACTAATTATACTCTAATTTAATGATAATTTAACGCTCTAATCCTAGCCTACTGCAGATTTTTGGCACATTGTTTGTATTCAAAAAATCATGGATTTCGCTAACTTAACCGTTAAGCTAGCAGAACCACTTCGTAAATAGAAGAGATATAAGGATATTGAGTACACCATAATTTGAGGCCATTTTAAGGCTCTTAGTTAAGCGTCTTTGATTTTTTAGTTGATCATTTTTCGCGAAAATTTTCACAAAAGCCTATTGTCGATTTCTTGGCACATTGTTTTTTCAACTAATCATGGGTTTTGCTAGCTTAACCGTTGAGCTAACAGAAGCACTTCGTAAATAGAAGGAACATGAGGATATTGAGTACACCATAATCTTATGCCATTTTAACGCTCTTTGTTGAGCCTATCATTGTTTTTTTTATCCACAAATCCAACATGAACATGAAAAACCAATAGCGAATCCAAAAATATCAATCACAAAACCAATTATACCATACTTCAAGACTAATTTGAGGCTCCAATCCTATGGCCTATTGCCTATATCGAACGTTAGTTTTTTCCCTTCCACTAATCCCTTCTCTTCCAGCCCTCGGCGTTCTCGTTGGGCGAGATGTGTGTCCCTCCCATGGCCAACGTCCTCAAGGTCTTCCTAGAGAACGGCCAGACCAAGTCGTTCAAGTACGACGCCTGGACGACGGTGCGCGACGTCGTCGAATCGCTCGAGCAAAAGTTGTGCTTGACCGCCACCGAGCACTTCAGCCTGGTGGTCGAGCACATCAAGTCGCTGAAGAGGAACAAGCTGACGCTGCTCGATCCGCAGGACGTGCTCGCCAGGGTGAGTAACTTTTCTCATTATAACTCGCTATTATTATCTGATTGTCACCAACTCAGTATTTTTATCTCACTTTAACTATCTCAATATCACTATCTCACAATCACTATGTCACAATCACTATCTCACTATCACTATCACCTGGAACCAACTATTAATCTTTAAAACCCAAAAAATCTGTTGAATTTATCATCTTTATATAAAATGAAAATTTGTTCTTTAATTCATTTGGTGAGAAAAAAAAAATATCCAACTTGACCTTTACTGAAGTAAATACAATTCATACTCATGCAACGAGACAGTTGAATTCATCAATAGCAAACCCATATAACTCCATCATTGGCGAACAATCAGTATTCTACAACGGAATCATTTTATATAATTCATTACCATATGATTTGAAACATATTGATGATTCAAAGTCAATATGAAAAAATATATACTCATGACACAAACGGAGCAATTCATTCTCATTTGAATACTTGGAATGATTTTATTTTAATTATTATGTTATATTGACAAAACTCGTTAATAAGTTTTTTTTAATCGTTATATATCTATATATATCATATGTTCATGTATCCCTATTATAAACAAAATATTTTTTCACATATTTTTCACTTTCCGGCTCGTGTTTGTAATGTGTAACTTTCTTCAATTCCAATGTATTTGCAGATAATTTTTTCACCTTCATGTAAGCGATTGTACGGTAAGAATTTCACTTTACACTCATTTTTGTCTCTTGTAGGACTAATTTCTTGTAGGCTGATGATGGACATATGCATGTCCGAAAATATGTTCCTCCTGATGTGAGATTGTTCACATAGTAAACTGTCGTGGAGATGATTTTGAGTTTTATTTAGTTATTTCAACTACACTCTACTTTGAGAAATGTTGGACTTCTACCAGAGATTAATTTCTTATTTGTTTGAATGTCAGAAACATTTATAAGGAGAAGTAGTTTCTATTCTGATTTTTTTTCTTTTTTTTATGTTCTGGTTCCCACGAAAAGGGATATCCTGTAATGTTCAGAGAACATCGTGAGAACCAAGGGAAATGAAATAGGAATTGGTGTTCTTCTTGAATTTCTGGAGGTTATATGCCTCGAGGAACACCTTCCTTGGCAATGTATTCCAGAGCCTCGCTGTTCGTTGGATGAACCAGTCTTTGGAAAGAGATGTTCTGCAGGTCTCCAAAGTGACCACGAAGGGGTGCGATGCCTCAACTCGACGGGTTAATCTCGCGGGGACTGCCAAGGGAAGAACAATTGTTGATATTTCAGAAGAGCATCGTCCATGAAAATATCTATGAAATAGAGCCAGATCGCCAACTTTTCAATGGTGTTCCAGAGAAGTAAGCGAGTTTGTGGGCGAGGCTTTACCCACGAGACGAATTGCCCTTGTTGGACAGAATCCAACAGTTTCAGGGTATGTTTGGGTGCTGTACTCCAAATATGGGAACAGTATTCCAGGACAGGTTGGATCTGTGCCTTATAGATCATAAGCAGATGACTGGAAGTGAAACAGCTCCTGGCCCGAAACAGAAAAGTTTTTGGGATGCACTTTTAGCAATTGTTCTCACGTGATTTTCCCAAGAAAGGTTATTGCTGATAGTAATACCAATCATCGAAATGGATGTCTTCAAAGGTATGGTTACTTGTAACAAGCTCATGTTGGGCACAGTGAGATCGGCTTTTCTAGAGAAAAGACATGCTTGTGTTTTGTTTGCATAGAGATCTACCAAGTTAGTGGATCCCCATTCGAGAATTGTTGCCAAGTCCATATTTATGTTGTCAACATTTCTCCTTCGTTCGTTTCTGATTTGCCTGGCTGGTATTGGAGCCCTGGAAGAGAAGGCGGTATGGAGGGTACTATCATCCGCGAAGCTGTGTACTGGACATGAAGTTGCTTCCAACAAATCGTTGATATGGAGTCGAAATAGTGTTGGTGCTAGAATTGATCCTTGAGGAACACCAGCATTTATGATAAGAGAGTCAGATGAAACTCCGTCGACCACTACATGGAGAGACCTGTTTGAGAGAAAACTAGCTAGCAGAGAACATAGCTGGGGAGGCAAGTGATAGCAGAGCTTGATTATTCACAGTATGAGGAACACAATCGACAGTATCAAGTATCTGATTCATTTTATATAACAAGTGATCAACAACTAATAAAATATATAGTGGGAGTTATATAAAGGTATAAGGAAGTATCACAGGACTACTCTTCTAACAGCAAGCCATAAGATGGAAGCTTGGCGAGGAGTCCGTGGTACCAGACTCGAGCGAATGCCTTGGAGATATCAAGTGCCATGGCTAAGGTTTCACCATATTTTTCAATAGATTGCTGCCATATATGTGAGACGTGAGCGAGCAGGTCACCAGTGGATCTCTGATGACGGAAGCCATATTGCCTATCGTTGATAATACCTGAATGTTCCAGGTACTCAATGAGCTCGATGTTGAAAGCTTTCTCCATGATCTTCGAAATAAAAGATAGCAGTGCGATCGGTCTGTAGTTGCTAGGTAGATTCTTTTTGCCTTTTTTCGGAACTGGTTGTACTCTTGCAATTTTCCAGTTGGACGGGAATATCCCCAATTTGTAAGAGTAGTTGAATAACTTGCAGATAACAGGTGTTAGTTCGGGAGCACATTTCTTGAGAACTATCGGTGGGATTCCGTCGGAGCCATAAGCTTTGTTGGTGTTGAGACCCCCACATTTGAACGTTCTATTGCAACTTTTAATTTTTGATATTTACTCAATCCCAACGCAATTTCCAAAATACATATTGTTAAATTGTAACTTCGACAAAAAACCCTTCCATTTCCAGATAGCCTCCCGCCCGGGCGCCCACAAGCTGCGCTGCCTCTACCGCGTCGCCTTCGTGCCACCGTCGGCCGCCGCCCTCGCCCAACGGGACCTGCCCGCCCTCGACTACCTGTACACGCAGTGCTGCAACGACGTGGTGCAGGAGCGGTTCGCGCCCGAGCTGCAGCACGACACTGCCTTACGATTGGCCGCCCTGCACATCTACCAGCACGCGCTGGCCAATAACATGTCGGCCGGCAAGCTGACGGTGAAGGCCATCGAGTGAGTTGGTCGAGGTTTTCCACAGCAAAACATCACCACACGTCTCACCCACACAAATGCTGTGTCAAGTCATCCGTCTGACCACAGTGGTGATATCAGAATGGTCAATGGCTGACTTGACTCCCATCCAGAAGTTGACGTGGTAACTGTGTGTGGGCAGGTTTGAAACGTGACCGATATTCCCAAACAGCTGGTTGGTCAGACTGATGGTCAGACTTCATACTGAACGTATGTGCCCGGTCAAACCACAGACTTGACACAGCCAAAGTTATATCGATGCGGTGGGAATGTTCGTTGGTCAAGCTTATTCTATTTAGACCAAAACACACAAGTTGCGTTTTATTTATTCGATTTCGCCACCAGAATCACTTAATGTGTCGTTTTATTTGCAACTTTTCCGATTACGGTGGCTACTTTTCATTCCGTCTCCCTACAAGGAATGACTAGGAATGACTGTTGATAAACTGGGCGTCAATTGAAACGTTAATAGTGAAATTTGGCATCAAGTTTGACTTCTCGTAATTTCTAAAATTTTGAACCAATTTTGAATTGCCGCCCAGATTCTGAATGCCGTTTTCATCGTCTTTCGAACTGTTCCTTACAGCTTCTTCTAAATTGACCAGGACCCGTGATACAGGGTGAAACAAATTTTCGTGCATTTTGAAAAAAATTTCTCCGCCCCCCCATTTTGTCGGAAGACCACGATGCTCATATTTTATCCGGGCATTTCATAAATAGCAACCATACCTCGGGACATTTTCGAGTTTTTGCCAAAAACTACTGTGGTTTCCGAAAAAAAAAATTTTTTTTGCATTTTTTTTAAATGGACTAATTTTAGAGAAGTTCCATAAATGGATGCTTTTATGCATTTCAGGAAATCGTTGGAGCAGATATGTATACCAGGTTACTCAAAAACAATCAATAATTTATTACTTCGCAGTCTATGATAAAAGTTTGCTACCTTAGTGAGCAGTAAATCAACACATCTCTTCAACAAAAACAAACAACGATACCTTGTTTCTATAACATCGTATTGTTGAAACAATGTAGGTATGCATAGATGTTATATCAATTGCCAATTTTCATGAAAACGTCAGTGTAATTCGGGTCCTAAAAAATTTAAAGATGCCTCGTTCAAATCGGGTCGAAATGGAAAATATCATTAGGTAAGATCACTATAGTGATATAAACTATAATTCAGTACAGATAATTATTATTTCAGGTTACGACGATTAGGATATACCCAAACTCATTTGAGTACCATTTTCAATAAGTCAGTCATGACAATAAAGAGACTGATTCATCGTTTTGAGGAAACAGGTAATTAGTCCATTTAAAAGAAAATGCTAAAAAAAATTTTTTTTCGGAAACCACAGTAGTTTTTGGCAAAAACTCGAAGACGCCTGAATAAAATATGAGCATCGTGGTCTTCCAACAAAATGGGGGGGGGGGGGGCGGAGAAATTTTTCTAAAAATGCACGTAACTTTGTTTCACTCTGTATCATGGATCCTGATCAATTTAGAAGAAGCTGTAAGGAACGGTTCGAAAGACGATGAAAAAGGCATTCAGAATCTGGGCGGCAATTCAAAATTCGTTCAATATTTTAGAAATTACGAGAAGTCAAACTTGATGCCAAATTTCACTATTAACGTTTCAATTGACGCCCAGTTTAAATGATCATTCACAGATAAAATTAATTATTCCTCCGGATTTCAGAGAAGTTTCTCCAATCACCACAATCACTGCTTAAAATATGGGTTGATTAATTCTCTAGATTCTCAACTCTAGTATGATTATGAAATTATTCGGAGCCCCAATGGCCAATACGTGAATATAACCTCTATAATCTATGATATGTTAATTCTCTTATTCAAGGTCAGTCCCACCGACACGAAATTGGCTAAGGTGGGAATATTCGTTGGTCATGATTTTCCATAGCAAAACACGAACAACAAGTCTCACCGACATAAGATAATTGATATGCAAATTCGCATCTGAAAGTGGGATTTTTAATGTGTATGCGTTTCTCAAGTATACTTGCTACAATTTATAATAGTCCTTATTCAAACGAGAGCCCTGGGTTAGGTGAAACTATCCGAATTGAAAATTGAGTCTACACCAACAGTGAGTTGGTCAAGGTTTTCCACAGCGAAACAACACAACAACCCGTCTCACCATCACAAAGTTATATAAGTGGGAATGTTCGTTAGTCAAAGTTTTTCTATTCATAGCAAACCACACACACAAAATCATATAGGAAACAAATTGATATACAAATTTGCATTTGAAAAGTCCCACGGACACGGTGGCTACGGTGGAAATATTCGTTGGTCGAGATTTTACATGGCAAAACACGAACAAAAAGTCTCAACGACACAAGATAATTGATATGCAAATTCGCATCTGAAAGTGAGATTTTTAATTTGTATGCGTTTAGTATACTTGCTAAAATTTATCAAAGTCCTTAATCAAACGAGAGCCCTGGGTTAGGTGAAACTATTCGAATTGTTGATAGGCAAATTCGCATCTGAAAGTGAGATTTTTGATGTGTATGCGTTTAGTATACTTGCTACAATTTATTAAAGTCCTTAATCAAACGAGTGCCCTGGGTTAGGTGAAACTATTCGAATTGTTGATAGGCAAATTCGCATCTGAAAGTGATGTTTTTGATGTGTATGCGTTTAGTATACTTGCTAAAATTTATCAAAGTCCTTAATCAAACGAGAGCCCTGGGTTAGGTGAAACTATTCGAATTGTTGATAGGCAAATTCGCATCTGAAAGTGAGATTTTTGATGTGTATGCGTTTAGTATACTTGCTACAATTTATTAAAGTCCTTAATCAAACGAGAGCCCTGGGTTAGGTGAAACTATTCGAATTGTTGATAGGCAAATTCGCATCTGAAAGTGAGATTTTTTATGTGTATGCGTTTAGTATACTTGCCACAATTTATTAAAGTCCTTAATCAAACGAGAGCCCTGGGTTAGGTGAAACTATTCGAATTGTTGATAGGCAAATTCGCATCTGAAAGTGATGTTTTTGATGTGTATGCGTTTAGTATACTTGCTACAATTTATTAAAGTCCTTAATCAAACGAGAGCCCTGGGTTAGGTGAAACTATTCGAATTGAAAATTGAGTCTACACCAACAGTGAGTTTGTCAAGGTTTAACAAAACAACAACACGTCACACCCACACAAAGTTATATCGGTGAGAATTAGCATTTCAAAGTGAGGTTTTAAACGTGTAGTGCTGCAAGAGAAGTTCGCGCCCGAGCTGCAGAAAGACACGGCGCTGCGATTGGCTGCTCTGCACATCTACTAGCACGCGCTGCCCAATAACATGCTGGCCGGCAAAAGCCACGGTGACGGTGAAGGCGAGTTGGTTGCTCGTTGGTCAAAGTTTTTCACAGCAAAACATATAAACTGGTCAACATTGATAACGTCGTGGTCCAAAATATAGCCTGAATTCAAAGTAGAATCTGGACAAATTTTTCATTGCAACTTGTGAATTCATCGTCAAGAATAAATATGAATTCCTTACTTCTGAAACTACAAACGTAATTTTTTGAAGTTTATAATTCATCTCAACGAAGATGAATCATTTTGATTAAAAATGCGTACCTTTATTATATAACCTTCGATTCGAGAAATTACAAAACCATTTCGAGGTCAGACACCAGACATCCTCATTACGAAGTAACACTCCATTATTTCACTAGTAACACAGAGAAAATTATGTTTCATCTACTGAAGACTACGTTATTCTCCATTCCATCATTCAGTATTTCTTGTATCACTTTGTATAGACTTCCTCAGAATTTTCTGTGTTCGAACACAATCACATATCCGACAACTGTACATACAACGTTGATTCCTCGAAAAAGAATCCCAACTTCCAATTCCATTCAATGAATCGTCGAAAGAATGCATCATTTTGAATGAATATTCATAACTCGATTATCAAAGCTCTGAATTTGTAAATTTCGAAAACGTTTCGAGAGAAAGAATCAATCAAGAGGATGCGGGTGGGGAAAAGAATAGAAAAATTTATTTGTTCAAACAGTAAGGTGTCGACCACGATGCCATTTTACACCCATTCAATTATAACCCTGTAGCAATGTTATCTGAAATTACAGAATTTTCATATTGCCACAACACTGTTAAGAGATTTGGCTAATCATTGATTAAAACCGATTTCGAATTGGTAAAGAAATTCGTGAGTTATTCTACTTTGAATTCAGGCAATATTTTGGACCACGACGTTATCAATGTTGACTAGTTTACAACAAGTCTCACCTACGAAGAATTCCGAATCTATACATATTTTTGTCCTAGATCCGAAGGATAACAAAGTTGCATATTTTTTCTGCCAAAGTGCAAAAATCGCTAATTTTGCACTAAAAATCATATAGCTGCAAGTAAAATTTCATCTTTGTCCTAGTTCCAGAACAATTTCATAACAAAGTTGCATATTTCTCACTCCAAAATTCAAAAATCGCTAAGTCTGCATCTAGGAGCACATAAAATGTCACGAGGATTCCGAATCTATACATATTTTTGTCCTAGACCCAAATGATAACGAAGATGAAACATTTTCGAAGATGACAAGATTTCCACAAAACCAATTGTTTCGCTAACACAGTAGCTTTGCCAAGAAAAAACTGGTACAATAAACTAAACTTACATTGTCTCGCCTAACTTTTATATCCAATTTTGCCAACCTAAAGGATTAAGATACCTAGTAAGATAAACCTTCATTCTCGAAAAGCCGGCACGATATCAACATTAAAATACGATGTTTTGAATGAACTTGAAGGGTTGCTCACAAAAATGACCTACTAAGAAAACAAATTCAACAGCGGTGAATTAATCCACGATTTTCCCAGACGCGAATTCGGCCTGGAACGTTTCGTCCCCGCCTCCCTTCTCGACCACGTCAAGCGCAAAGAGGTGCGCAAGCTGGTCGGCCACTTCCTCAAGCTGCACGCCAACATGGCTGGCGCGGGCAAGCAGCTGACGGCGCTGCAGGCGAAGCTGCACTACCTCGACATCGTCGCGCAGCTGCCCAGCTACGGCGCCAAGTGCTTCTCGGCCGGTCCCAGAGGGGACGCCACTGAGAGGGTGGTGTTGGTCAGTCCGCGGTTCGGGATCAGTCAGATAACAGGATCGAGGAACTCCGTGGTGAGTGGTTTTAGTGTCTTTCTCTTCTTGTCATTCCTATTTTTCGCTATCTTCATACCATGTGTTTCTTTTTCCCTATTCTTGTCGTCATTTGAATTCTTTAATGTACTTGACACTTTGGTTTGACGTTTTTGTACCACTCATTCGACAAACTACCTATGTAGGTGTGATTTTCAGAGGGATGGCAAAGTTATCAACAATATAAAGGAGAATGAGCAGTTCCTACCTTTCTATTCTTAGCTCCTTTCGTTGAAAGTCAAATGCCCGAAACATTTGATGAATTTCAGACGATGACGTGGGCTTTACACATTGGAAGTTAGATGGCTTGATTCCTAGAACTTATGATCAACATCAGTTATACAAATCGTGATGCGGCTAAATCGAAAAATGTATCCCCTATTTTCACAGGTCACAATTATTGTCACATTGATGCTTGTGATTTTGGTACTGCACCAGACTAAACTTAGCGAGATTCACCACGCCATGTTATGTTTATCGAAGTAGGCAACAATCTAGTAAATGTAAAACAGGAAAGGATTGAAGTGCGTACCTCAGAGGTTTATTTCATCAATGCCCGAAACCGTATTCTGTCAACGTATTCAACTTGATCTCAAAATCAATAAGGATAACGGTCTCAATGGAATTTCACCTATTATTCTCAAAAATTATGCATCAGCATTGAGACATCTCGTCGGATGTATTCCATCCTGCTGGAGAAAAGCTGTAGTTTATCCAATCCCCAAAGAAGGAAGCATATCTGCCCAATAACCAAGTATAGGCCTATTGCTATCATAACAGATATCTCCAAAGTGAAAAAAGCCATCAGATATCTGGAAAGCTCAAGAACCAATAATGATAGACAATATAGCTTTCTCCATCAAAGATTACGTTACCCATATGGCAAGCAAGCTTCATTGGACAAACATGGGGAATAACTATAGCTGTGACGTTAGATACATCGAGATACTTCTATTGTGTTTGGCATCAAGGAGTTCTCCACAAACTACCATCATACGACTTATCACTTCAGCAATGCCTTCTTCCATCGTGTTTTCTGTCAGGCAGATCGCTCCAAGTGGTGGTGGACAGAGTATCATCTGATACCGTAGTCATCAATTCAGGCGTTCCAAATGGATTCATTTTGGCACCAACATTGTTCCTACTTCATATCGATGATCTGTTGGGAGTAACCACTTGCCCTATCTATAGTTTTGCAGATGATACTTTCCGTACTGCGTTAACTTTCAGAATCCTCATTTCCTTACAGGAAACTAGGATCACAACGAAGGCAGGCCAACGTTGGCAACAAAGATCTTGCTGATATTACAGCCTATAGGAAATCAACAACCTAGTTGAATTTAACGCCTCCAAAACTCAAGCCTGTAATTTCTCTCAGTATGCCTGATATAACAATGTTTGGTACTACCATTCTCACAAAGTCCACCATTTGCTTCACAAAAACCTTTTTATTCCGTGCGAGAAGCTACTTCGTACCTCGGCAGATTCTCATAATCTACAAAGCATAGATAATGTTCCATTCGCCTGGTGGTTAATGCCTCACTAATTTTTATACACTATTGGAGAGTCGGTGACCTTTCAATTTTCTGTAGATACATCCACAAGAAATGTTCCTCAGAAACATCTGCTATCATTCCAGCACTACATAGAAATACGAAATACCAGTCACACAAACTCGACAAGCCCAGTCAGCACATCCTCTTGTCGACAACCTCGAAAAAGGTCGAATAAATCTTTACCAAAACTTGTTTGTCTATAGAACGGCGAAACTCAGGAATTATTTTCCAAAGGAAGTATTCCCAAGAACTCTCAATCTCTAGTAGTTCGAAATAAATTCAATACCAACCTTCAATCCAATACCACCCAATACCTACCTACTCCCCCTATCCTTCCTAAGTACACACGATGTTCTTCGAACATAATAGGAATTACCTTTCGTGCGTCCCAAGAGATAAAAATAGCTAAATCGAGCTGTTTCATCATTGCATAAAGAAAGTTGTTTTTATGTATCCTGTTTCAAAATCCAACTTATATTGACATTTCATTTCTTTCGTCAGTTCCAACCCATCCCGATCGCCAACATCAAAACGAGAAAACCTTCAATGATTTCCCAGAGTTATCCCCACCATTCGAGATTTTTTTCATTTATCCGTGTCAGTCTGATGCTTTCTTCTTTAGTTCCAACATATCCCGAATGCCAACATCAGAACGAGAAGACTGGCAATGATTCCGCAAAGTTATCCCCACCATTCGAGATTTTATTCATTTATCCGTGTTTGGTGTTTGGAAATTGTTGGTGTATACATAATGATTGATGAATGACTCGCGATGTCTTCCTATTGTTATTTAGTCTAAGATGTTCTTTTTCAGTTCCAGCCCATCCCGATCGCCACCATCGAATCGATGCGCCGCATCGAAGTGAGGACCGACGACGAGATCAGCAGGACCGTGCTGATCCGCCTACAGACCGACAAAACCGTGTCGATACCGCTAGAAGAGCGCGACGCCTCAGAACTGGTGTTGGTCCTCAAGGGCTACTACCGGCTGCAAACCGGCCAGACGCTGCCGGTCGACCAGGAGGAGGCGCCTCCCATGGAGGACCTGGCACCTCCCTATCTCTCGCAGCACAAGGTAAGACGGTCGTTGTGTTCGCTACACGATCTTGCTTGCAAACGGACTGCTAATCGCCTATATTCACAATGTGTCGATAAAACGCCAACACAGAGTGTGACCTTTACCCCCGATACTAACAAGGCCTGAAGGCTCGTAGTGAACAGCTCGTGAAATCAGCTAACTGAGGCCATCCATCCTTCGCGTGTCGACTCACGAATGTCGTCAGTTTGTTTAGGTATGTTCTCGGGTATGTTTGAGAAGCGGTCGCGTGCCCGAATTCTTTTGTTGTTTATACATTGAAATAATTGGCGGAAAAATTACTGTTTTGTGAAATATTTTGTGTTTTGATAGGCGAAATAACAATGCCTTTCAAGTATTGTGGTCCCTTTTGTCGGGGGAACTATGTGGGTGGTCCAAAAGTTCATGCTTTTAGTTTCCCGTTGGACAAGGAACTATCGAAAAAGTGGGTATATGCAATTCAGAGTATGTGATTTACATTTTACTCCCCCTCAAGGGCAAACGTTTGAATGATGTGTTTCAAGAACCTATCACAGCTATACATTTTTGTTCCGATGAACAATTCATTTTCTTGCATAAAATGATAGATTGGTTAGAAACTTGGGAATCTGCAAATTATACTAATTAACTAACAAACCAAACACATACTGCTTTGATTCACATTATATATGGAATGACAGAAGTTATACAATATTGTTTTAACGAACTCAAGATGAATCATGTTTTACTAGGAAAATTTCAAACAGATGATTTGGAACATAAGTTAGGGAAATATCGTCAACTTTCAGGTGGACATTATCACATATCAATTCGACAATTGTATGAATCGGAAAAAAAGGCTCGGAATTCAATCACTGCTCACGCTAAAATCTCGTACTTACGGTAATATACAAATCAGGCGCTTCCACGAAAATATTGATTCCACCGAAGAAATCCAAGAAAATCATTCTTTCAATCCAGATATCATAGTCGAGGAATCTGATATAGATAAATATATTACAATTAGAAAAATTCAGTGCGAATTTTGTAAACAGAACTTACTTTATAATGATGAATTAATAATAGAAGACAATTACTCTCTCATGAAAAGTATGAGTAGAGGAAAATTATTCTATTCCCAAGCTTTGATTGTGCTGTTAGTTTTGTATTCGTCATAATAAACGGGCATTTTTATCTCAATACATTCTCAAATTTCTTTTTGAGAACACAACGATCCTTGGAAATGAAGTAGGAAAATCAAACTATAGTGCCATGTCGACAAAATGGTGAATTTCACATATTTATCATTGATATAATAGAGACACAACCCAGGACTGAGAGCTGACCCAATATCTCTCTCACGAATAAGATTCCACTCATCAATTTTCATGACTTGCTTCCTAGAAGCCAAAGCAATGAACTAATCATGTTCAGTTGATACATGTTGATGAACAAATATCAAAATTTCAAGGTGGTGCCAGAAAAATGGAGTTACATCGACCATACCACCTTGAAGCTGGCCTGTTTCGCGATGCCGCCCATATACAGGGGCATCAACAACAAGAAGACCAACGGGCTGTACAACACGATGGGCAGACAGACCAAACAGCCGCTGATGATAGGCTACAGCCTGGACAGCAACATGAACAGCTCGATGGCCGACAGGAACAGGCACTTCCTCAGCCTGGATCAGAAATCCGTGGATTCCGAGCAGACGGGGACTTTGGAGAATGGGATCATCGAAGCTACCAATGAAGAGGTCAGTTCATTCAAGATCCATTGATATCAAGTGATATTTCATTCCTTAACAATAAAAAACTTTGAAAACTGTAGAATAGTTTGTTGCTTGTTCAAAATGAACCTTGACTTAGTTAATAGTGGAATATCTATGGGGCGCCTCCGCCAAATATCCAGGATTGTCATAGAACATCTACTCATGATTAAATATCGATACATTTCATTTTGGTGCCTAGTATCCAGTTTCAATTTGTAACACCGAATCCTCTATTCATATTTTATAACTTTTCGGTTTCAAAGCATCACATGATGTTAACAGTGACCTTGTTACCCCAGTTCCTGATAATTTCAAACTGAATTGTTTCGATAAATTCAAGTGCATCCCCTTTCGGATAGTTTGTCGTTTACCCTTTACAGAAGATTTTGTTTGTTTTCAAATTTTTACGATTCATTTCATTTCCAATTTCAATGTAGAATTTTGATGTACCTCATGTTCAAAATGTTTGTGTATCATCTGTTGTTTGACGATTCATTGAAAAATAGAGCCGTTACAATTGGCGCCCAACGGGGAGAGGTATAAATTCTGAACTTGAAGTTACTGATTATTTCTACGAGACGAATAAATATCACCCACCTTTAAATGCTTCATGAGACGAAGAATTGTCTCCCATCTTCATGTGATTCAACAGAGTCATTACGTTTGGCGCCCAACTTGGGGCGTTACCACCGATCGGTGGTAACGCTTGGGGCCATTCATTCAGAATTTGAGGTTACTTATTATTTATGAGACGAATAAATGTCACTTATCTTCCTATGATTCAATAGAGTTGTGACAATTGGCGCCCAACGTGGGGTCATCCATTCAGAATTTGAAATAATTCATTATTTCTACGAGACGAATAAATGTCACTCGTCTTCCTATGATTCAACAGTCGTTACAATTGGCGCCCAACGTGGGGCACATTCATTCAGAACTTGAATGTGCTTATTATTTCTACGAGACGAATAAATATCACGCATCTTTATATGATTTTAGGGAGTCGTTACAAATTTGTTTTATGTACAGATGAGGAGGAGGGTGCAAGAGATGCACCAACTGGTGGAGTATTCGGAAAGATACCTCACCGAACAAGAAAACCTGGAAAGACTGAATTCCTTGGCAGAGTGGCAAGAGACCAGTGTGGATATCGAAAGCGATTCAGACGAACCTGGAAAGCTAAAGCACAGCGATTCTCTGCTACTCCTAAATAAAGCAGTGAGTATACAATTAAAAGATATTCGAATAGTCCGATGATAATTCAGAACATATGTTTTTTTCAGGGTAATGGTTTAGAAAGGCGGCCTTCCTTCACTAGTGCAGCTATAGAATTGTTAAGGCAAGATACCACTTGTTCAGAAAGCGATAATGACTCCATCTATACGCCCAACAACTCACCGAAGCACAAGCTGTTGGCAAGCAATTTAGACAACAAATTGAATAGGTAAACAAAATATGATTTATACGTGAGACAATTCATAATATGAACGTATGTCCTGAAAGTCTCAACTTTTGAGATACAGGGTGATGAAGTTTTGAAAACTATTCAGTTTTTTGATAATAACTGAAACAATATAGTATACATCTTCATGAAATTTGGTACACGTCTTCAATGCATCAAGGTGCATTTTCTGATGTACTAAACATTTCATTTTCTCTAACAGTGGCACCGTTACGGGAATATTATTATTTATATTTTACTTAAAAGTGAGCAATGACCAAAAAAAATTTAAATTTCATACAATGCCATGAAAGGCTATTTAATTATGTACAAAAAAGATCCTCTAGTTGAAAAAACGGAAAAACGAGACCAGACTTCGAATTTTGATGTCTGAGTACTCCATTCAGGACATCCATTACTGGAAAACCATAGTATGTAACATTTTGAAATTTGTATACCGATTCAGTCACATAGCAGACTGAATTTTGCCATCACGAAAAGCTATACAGGGTGGACAAAAAAATAATCTATACATATTTTCAACATTGACACCCTGTATCTCAAAAGTTTACGACATACGATCATATGAAGTTTTATTCTTGAAATGGGTCGAAGAATCAACCCCTTGAATATTAGCATATCACTAAGTAACACCTTGTACACACACTGGCACAATTAGGGGAACGGGCAAAATTTACACTAAGTTTGACATCAATTTTCTTTCGAACCGATCGCTCGATTCAAATTTTTTTCTTCACGAAATGTAGCTTCATTCTTCACGAATACATCTGAGAAATAATTACCTTCAAACGATGAGTCTTTCCATCATATACAGGGGTGTAAAGAAAGTACGGATTTTTCGGTATTTTCTTAGACATCCTGTGGACTGAACCACTGATAATTGAAACGATTTCTCAACACCAAATTGGAGCCCAATCTATTCAGAATATTTTCGTTTTTTATTCATCTTGATATCTCAATTATTCAAGAAAATACAGAGTTTCAAAGGAAAGGTGGATATTGGTATCAATTTTACACCTCAAAACTCAAATTGGATCTGAAAATGTGTGGTTTCTTGACTAACCTAACCTAACCATGACTAAACCACTGCCATAGGAGACAGAAGCAGTAAAATCAAATTGTTCATTTTGTTCACCTCGGCGATATAGTCTTTCCCTGCCATCTATTGAACTGGTGCAGATGCGGCTCTCATGTTAAAAGAACATTGGCCAACTGGTCATTTTCAATTAATGCTACAGCCCTCGCCACATCAGTAGGAGTCAAATCTCTCACGTTGAATTTTCATTAATTAAATTCATTAATTGTGAATCGCTTGACTTTGTCAATAATTAATGACATTAACAAAATAGCCAACGTTGATTAACAAAAATAGCATTTCACCAAAAGAACATTGGAGCAACTTTTATCACCCCTGCATATTGATGAGAGAATTCGTATATGTGTCTTTAAACAGTGAACCGATAGGTAAAACTGTGAACAATTCTCATCTTGAAGTAAAAATCCTCACAGAAACAAGTTGAAAAACGACACGTTCTCCCCAGTTCGATTTTCGAGGTGGTAAAATTAATACCAATATCCACCTCTTCTTTGAAACTCTATATTTTCTTGGATAATTGGGATGTCAAGATGAATAAAAAACGAAAATATTCGGGATAGATTCGGCCATAATTTGGTGTTGGAAAATCGTTTCAATTATCAGTGGTTCACTCCTCAGGATGTCTTAAAGAATACCGAAAAATCCGTACTTTCTTTACACCCCTGTATATGATATAAAGACGAATCGTTTGGAGGTGATTACTTCTCAGATGTATTCGTGTAGAATAAAGCTACAATTCGTGAAAAACAAATTTGAATCGAGTGATCGGTTCGAGAGAAAATTGATGTCAAACTTAGTGTAAATTTTACCCGTTCCCCTAATTGTGCCAGTGTGTGTATATAGGCAATATGGCGCTGAATTTCAATCACTGATATTGGCGGTAAATCCGAATAACGAACATTTTCACATTATAAGAAACATAATGTATTAGTGTAATGGTTAGTAGTGGTTAGAAGAACTGAAATATCTACAATGAAGGAAAATATACTTTCTGCATAAGAAAGGAGACTACATTTTCTGAACAATGTAACATAATTCGGCCAAAATATAGATGATATAAAGAAGGAAACTGTCCTTTCTAGCAGAGATTGCTATTTCTAAACAATCTAACCTAACTCGGCCTAAATATAGATATCATCAAGGAAGGAAAATATCCTTTCTGCATTAGAAAGGAGACTACTTTGGTCAAACAATCTCACCCCACTCAGCCTGAATGAATCTTTTTACTAGAAGGTATATTTTTCGGAAAATTACCTGAGGATGAAATTCAAAAATATGAATTATTCCTTGCGAGGATTGAACCCAACCCGCTTGCGTAGCAGTGGCAAGCTTGTTCCACTGTACTAAGCGCTTACTACAAACGTTTCCAATGGGAAGAGAATTGCATGCTCATCGCTGCTAAGCGATAAGTGAAAGAGACGAAAAATTCTCGCCAGCACGCAGGCGCTTTTTGGTTCTGATTTGTCTCTAGGAATCGCCTATACAAATATTCGGCAGTGCTGCCGTTTCGTGAGAAAAAACCCCATTTCTGATTTTTTGTTATGTTCTGGTTCCCACGAAAAGGGATATCCAGTAATGTCCAGAGAACATCGTGAGAACCAAGAGAAATAAGGTAGGAATTGGCGTTCTTCTTGAATTTCTGGAGGTTATATGCCTCGGGGAACACCTCCCTTGGCAATGTGTTCCAGAGTCTCTCTGTTCGTTGAATGAACGAGTCTTTGGAAAGAGATGTTCTGCAGGTCTCCAAAGTGACCACGAAGGGGTGCGAAGCCTCAACTCGACGGGTTAATCTCGCGGGGACTGCCAAGGGAGGTACAATTGTTGATATTTCAGAAGAGCATCGTCCATGAGAATATCAATTAAATAGAGCCAGATCGCCAACTTTTCTACGGTGTTCCAGAGAAATGAGTGAGGCATCACCCACGAGACGAATTGTCCGTTTTTGGACAGAATCCAACAGTTTCAGGGTATGTTTGGGTGCTGAACTCCAAATTTGACACCAGGACAGGTCGGATCTGTGCCTTCAATGTACCCTAATCCATTTTCCGTCTTTTCAGGGTGAGCTTTGGCCTGCGCAGCCCAGACCCCACCAACCGTTCGGACGCCACCTACGACTTCCAAGCCTACCTACAACACCTCAGGGACGTGAAAAAGAACGGCGAAAACGCGGAAAACCCCTCCGCAAACGATCTCTACACCTCCGCCACCACCTTCGATGACAACACTTTCGATGACGCCCTGTATACTTTCGATGCCGACCTCATCGACCTGACGCTGCTGCCACCCCCAGCCACTCCTGACGAGCTGGACGCCACCCCTTTGCCTGTCTCGATTAACGTGCCACCCCGATCGTTCGCCGATTCCATCGACAAACTAAACAAGCTGGGTGAGTGTGGAGTAGTAGAGGGACTATACAGGGTAATGCAAATTTCATGGTACACTATTGTTAAATCAGAAATGGAGAGATGCGAACTAGGTTAGATTACGAAAAAAATGCGTCATTTCATGAACATCTCGAATATCAAAAGAATTCGGGATATCTTCTATGATTCCTGAAATATCATGTAAAAACTGAAAACCATCGACTGTTTGCATTATCAATAACTTTCCAACTATTACTCCTAGAGTATTGAAATTTGGTACACTTACAGAAGTTTGCAAGCTAAATTCAACGGTGACATGAAAAAATTTCTAGGCCCACTAGATTCGAAGATATCGATGCCTATTTTGATTTTTTCAATGGCGGCCATATTGGATTTGCACACCATCGGATAGATCCTGAACGCATTCAACCTTCGCGAAATTATTTTCAAAGGGTAGTACAGAACATTAGACTAGATGGTAGTTTCGCAATAAGGCGTTCATTGCCTTCATTCGCTTTCATTGAAGAGGAATACAATGATAATTTTTTCAATTGTTAGAATGACAGTTCTGAATTTTTGATGTTATAACAATCATCTAGCCTCGCATTTAGCAATATGAACAGGTAAATCTGACAGCAGCGACTCTGATAATATGTTTTCCACAATAAAATCGGAATAAAACATCAGCTCGCGAATGTTATTTGCAAATAGACCTACGGAGACTTCTGTCTATTGCATCATTCTACTATGACACGAATACAATGAGTATTCTAGCACCATCAATGCTACATCATAGATTTTAATTGATATTTTCAAATTTTTCTGATTTTTGATTATCTCCTACAAAAAACATACAAGTGTGATACATCGATGAATTGGTAATTTTATGATCTATCCGATGGTGTGAAAATCCAATATGGCCGCCATTGAAAAAATCAAAATAGGCTTCGATATTTTCGAATCTACTGGGCTTAGAAATTTTTTCATGTCACCGTTGAATTTAGCTTGCAAACTTCTGTAAGTGTACCAGATTTCAATACTCTAGGAGTAATAGTTGGAAAGTTATTGATAATTCAAACAGTCGATGGTTTTCAGTTTTTTCAGGATATTTCAGGAATTATAGAAGATCTCCTCGATTTCTCTTGATATTCGAGATGTTCATGAAATGACGCATTTTTTCCGTAATTTAACTTAGTTCGCATCTCTCTCCGTTTCTGATTTAACAATAGTGTACCATGAAATTTGCATTACCCTGTATAGCGATTCAAACACGAGTAGATATACAACAGGAATTCGGGATCAGATACCCTCAATGTGTTAAGAGAGAAAGAGAGCGTATTGAATATGATGTGTCAGAGAGAGATATCTGCACATCCATTCCTGTTTTATATCTACTCGTGCTAGAATCGCTACAGTCATACAAATTTGTACGAGTTTGAATTAGTAGCGATATATCTGAGATTTTCACTCCAGAAAGTTTATCATCAGGTGACAATCGCCAGCGGAGTTGAGTACATACTGTCTTCGAAATTCATAGTTTTTCGATAGGTCGGTACTGCGACGCGGCCACCAGTGATAAAAACAACATTTTCTTGTCCGTATATATAGGTGAACTGTTTCGGGCAATAGCGCGATACATGAAAATATATTGAATTATTTTAACAGAACAGTATTGCGTTTTGAATTATTTTAATATAAAGAAGATTTATTTCAATAAGAAAAATTATATATGAATCCAGTTTGAGTGAATACTTAACAACAACTTTGCAGCGTTGTAGACGTAGGGGTCTGCACGTGTTCACTATAGAATCCTACCTTAGAGTTAACGCAACTAAACTGGTCAACATTGATAACGGCGTGGTCCAAAATATAGCCTGAATTCAAAGTAGAATAACTCACGAATTCCGTTACCAATTTGGAATCAGTTTTCACTGATGATTGGCCTACTCTCTTGATAGTTTGTTGTGGCATTATGTAACTTCTGTAACTTCAGATAACATTGCTACAGGGTGAAAATTGAATGGGTAAAAAATTGCATCATGGTGGTCACCTTACCGTTTGGACAGATATATTTTTGTATTTTTTTTTTCACGGAAAATTCTGAAGTAGTCTTTACAAAGTGATACAAGAAATACTGAATGATGGAATGGAGAATAACGTAGTCTCCAGTTGATGAAACATAATTTTCCCTGATGTGTTACTAGTGAAATAATGGAGTGTTACTTCGTCATGAGGATGTCTGGTGTCTGACCTCGAAATGGTTTTGTAATTTCTCGAATCGAAGGTCATATAATGAAGGTACGATTTTTAATCAATATGATGCATTCTCGTTAAGATGATTTATGAAGTACAAAAAAAATTACGATTGTAGTTCCAGAAGTATGAAATTTATATTTATTCTTGACGATGGATATACAAGGTGCGATAAAAAAATATGTCCAGATTATCCCGGGATGAAGAAGAATATGTTTAAACGTGATGAAAATCGCTATGTTTCGAAAAAGAAATATAGGTCAATTTCGAAAATTGTGAAATGTATGAATCCACGATGCAATTTTACACCCATTCAATCATCACCCTGTAGCAATGTTATCTGGAATTACAGAAGTTTCATATTGCCACAACAAACTGTCAAGAGATTAGGCTAATCATCGGTGAAAACCGATTTCAAACTTATATATATTTTGGACCACGACGTTATCAATGTTGATCAGTTTAGATGGCGACAGCATGACTAAATAATCAATAGATAATCATGTATTATCTGTCTCCTTTCCAGGTATACTAGACGAAAACCAAGACCTCGAAGACTTCCTGGCTAGCGTAACGGTCCATCCTCCCACCCAGCAAATAACCCCTGCTGTCGAACTCACCCCAGAAGAGATAATGGCATACATTATTCCACCGCCGCCTACGCAGGGCAGTCACGAGAATTTGACGATGAGAGAGCAAGAAGAGAACAAGGAAAGTCCTTGGAGGGGAACTGGACGGAGTGGAGAAGACGAAGAAAAGTTCAACGTCATAGAGTATGCTACTTTCGACAGGAAAGGTGCGTTTTCCTGCTGCGCTAAAATCAAAAACGAGAAAACCACGAAGACGGACGAAGACATTCAGCCATTGCCGAGGCGAAGTTCGGATGAAAAACCACCGGATAGACCTCCAAAATCTATAGCACAGGTAAGGGTGAATGCCCATTTCGGTTAATGGATATCCTCTGGAAGTCTTTGAAATTCGAAGGAGATAATTTATGGTTATTGAACAGAATTATTGTTCATAATGTTATCGGGATTGGATATAAACAAATTACCAGCATTTGGATTGTCAATCAGGCAGCTACTTTTTATTATTATTATTATCATCAAAAGCTTTTATTTAGCTTGCAATGTAAACTACTTACCAGATGAAGTGGGACAGCCAAAAAATTGACTAATTTTGATAAGCTATAACTCCAACATTTCTTGGCCGATGTTGGATTCCCAACCAAAGGTAGAAAGCGTCATCCTTGGGCTATGCGTCATTGGCGTCGGGTTCTTATTTTTGCGATTCGTTCTCTTTGTACAGAGAATTTTTGAACAATAATTTGGGAAATGTGAGGGACCCTTGAATTATTTTTTAGATGTGGGCTGAATGGTTGGTCCGATACCTCGATACGTCTTCGAAATTATTTTGATGAATTGCGTTGCTATGCATTTTTGTTTCAAAATGTGGCCTCTTTCAGTTAAACTATACCATCCAATATCTGAACTGCAATAAGGAATATTTCTACTGAAGATAATCAACACCAGTGGCGCACTAAAAGGGGTTTATGATATTTAGAAACGAAAAATTCTTTTTTATTGAAAAAATTCAACAGTTTTATTGATCGTTACAGTTGAAGAGGTGTCATACCCTTAATAAGCATGATGTTGACAAATTCAGAGGCGTGCAAAAAATGAGCCTATGATATTCAGAAACGAAAAAAACGTTTTTATTGAAAAAAACCACACATCTATTTATCGTTACAGTCAAAAAGTTACCATACATTTAATTAGCATGATGTTGACAAATTCAAAGGCGTGCAATTGGTGATTCTGTAATGTGGACAAATTAAAATTCCAGTGTCATTATCATTGTTTTCTACTTATTCTAGGTGAGCATCCATGTAACTCATTGGATATGTCAACATCATGCTAATTAAATGTATGGCAACTTTTTACTTACGGTAACGATCAATAAATCTGTTGTTTTTTTTTCAATAAAAACGTTTTTTTTCGTTTCTGGATATCATGAGCCCCTTTTTTGCACGCCCCTGAATTTGTCAACATCATGTTTATAATTAAGGGTATCACACCTCTTTAACTGTAACGATCAATAAAACTGTTGGATTTGTTCAATAAAAACGAATTTTTCGTTTCTAAATATCATAAATCCCTTTTTGTGCGCCACTGGTGTTAATTATCTTCAGAAGAAATATCCCTTGTTGCAGTTTAGATGATGGCTGGTATTGTTTAACTAAAAGAGGCCACATTTATTCAAAATGAAAATGGAATTTCGTAAAATGGCGATTTTTCCATAGCAATGCAATGTATCAAGAAAATTCCAAAGACGTCTCGAGGTATCGGATCAACCATCCACCCAACATCTAAAAAAGAATTCTAGGGTCCCTCACATTTCCCAAATTATTGGTCGAAAATTTGAAATTTTTCCGGCTCTTAATCCACACTCTGTACAAAGAGAACGAATCGCAAAAATAAAGCCCAAGGATGACGCTTCCTACCTTTGGTTGGAAATCCAACATCGGCCAAGAAATGATCGAGTTATAGCCATATACGTATTAACGGATCATAACGGGTGCCAGGATGAAGCCAAAAATATGAAACAAATGAATATCCATAAGGATTTGGTGGCATGATACGCATGCGCGCGCTATTATTATAGTAGTCATCAAAGACATGCGTTTCGGTGGACAATGACGTTTACTAGCCTTTCAATCATAGCAGTATGTGTCTGATCGTTTCAAAACTTTTCCTTATGGATAGTCATTTGTCTTCAAAAATCGGCTTCATGTTTCGCTATGGAAACAGATAGAGATTATCCGTATTGATTATTAATACGTATATGGTTATAGCTAATCAAAATTAGTCAATTTTTTGGCTGTCCCCCTTCATCTGGTAAGTAGTTTATGTATGTATGTTAGTTCGAGAGGAATCTTTGAACTCAATTTTGAAGTAGATATCTTCAACCGATTGAAATGAAATTTTGTATACACGTTTAGTTTGGATGACAATGGACGATAAGGTGTTCGTAGTTATTCTAAATCCAATATGGCGGACCATCCAAGATGGCGAAATAGTTATTTTTAATGCACTTCAACAACCTGGGTATCAAATGAAAGGGCTCGTTAAGAGTAACTCGAAATATAATGTGACGTTATTCTGAATCCAATATGGCGGACCATCCAAGATGGTGGATTAGTTATTTTTCATGCACGTCAACAACATGGGTATCAAATGAAAGGAATTGTAACAATATTTTTAAATCGCTTTTATTGTATAATGATACATCTGATCGTTACGGAACAAGAGTACCTTTTTCTGCAACCGACACAATAGTCGTCCATTTTTATACCAAAATTAGCTCTTGAATTGACGTTTCTATTACTGACACAAAAATAGGTATGTTGCTAGGCAACATAATTAGTTCCTAGGAGCTAAAGTTGAATTTTAGTTCCTAGGAGCTAAAGTTTAAAGTTGAACTTTAGCTCCTAGAAACTAAAAAGGATGTACTGGACGTCATCGAGAATGAACAACATTGTGACGGTTGGTTATTTGGGTTGAGACGCATACCCGATTCCAGCAGATTTGGCATTTCATACCCATGCTGGAGATATAAATACACCTTATTATAATAGTTTGGTATTGGAATTATAAACATCTCAGTCAAGTATTTTTGTTTTGATCAGGGAAGCCTTCAAGATTCAAATACTTGCTTGTATTCTGTATCTGTATTTCATTCGTTATTCTCGGGATGGATAACTTGTTTTTGAATAATCACGGCAAGCAATCGGTTTTTTGTCTCAAACAACGATGTTGTTTAGCTTCATTTGATTGTCAAGTCAAACACAGTGTAGTATGGAGAGGAATAAATAATCACTATTATCGTTGTTGATATGTTCACTAACCTAACACTTTCCACGTCTTGTTCCTATAGCTGGCACTGGCGCGGTATTTGCCATTAGAGCACCTGGTCCATACACAAATATGTCACTCTGTGATTGTATTTATATTGAAACTACAATTCGAACATCCAAGAAAACCTAACCTGCTGTTAATGCAGGTAGAATATTCTCACTACATGGATTATTTGTCAATATTTGTTGCATTGCATACATATGGCACGGCCGAGGGCACGGCATTGGTGGTTACTTCACATGTTACTTGAGTTCATTGTTTCGGTTGCAGAAAAAATAGCATGTTTCATTCGGATCAAAAGTGACTTTGTTCGACTCGCAAATTTTGCTTTCGCTCGGCTTCGCTGAACGCTCCGCCTCGCAAATGCAAAATTCGCTTGTCAAACAAAGTGTCACTTTTGATCCTAATAAAACAATCTACTATTATCTGTAGGTGTGGATTTTCATAATCCGAGATTAAATTGTCGAAAAATAAAAAAAAATTTTAGCAATAATTATTAATGTAGTCTCACCTCGAGTCTCACCCTGCATTATACACTCCTGAATAATATTTTGGAATGATTTAATTTTCACTGCTGGGCTTGGAAATTTTATCACATGGAGTTTCGGAAATGCTCAAGAAATATCATCTCCAGGAGCACCCTTTTAGGGAGCCGTAGCTCCCTTAGGACATTTCTCGTATCATGTTCACTGGAACTTTTTTCCTATTTTTGATCGTAGAAGCCGCTGGTGAAGTTTGGCAGGTTAATTTCGGGACACCCTTTATACAAGCTACCAATTTTGATCATAATCGGACGATAATCAGAAAACTATCAACTGTCATTCTGAAGCCGCAATCTTGAATTTCTCAATTTTGATGAAAGAATTATAACTTCTGACCCAGAAAACCCCCAGATACTAATTTTGAATAGAATCAGATCATTACTACAAACCATAATGTCCCCTCTTCTAGCTCACTTATATTTCAACCGATTTAAAAATTTGAAAATTCAGAAATTTTTTCCCGTTGCATCAGAAAATACAGGGTGCTTTTTTTTCGGATAGGACACCCTGTATTTCATTGTATTTTTAGATTCTCCCCGGAAAGCTGATTTCATCAATATATCACACTTGGGGTCTAGCAGGAATGATTACAGATATAGGGTGTTGAAAATAGAGATTTTTCAACTTTAGGATTTTTTTTGTGTCGAAACTATTCATTATTGGCCAAAACGGCTCTAATGTCCCTATCTCAACTTTTGATTAACTATCTACTGACATTTAATTGGAACATATACAGTGTGGTTCAAGATTCACAATTCTGATCACCCTGTATCTGTTCCAATTATTAAATGTCAGTAGATAGTAAATCAAAAGTTAAGATACGGACATAAAAGCCGTTTTGACAGATAATGAATAGTTTTGTCACAGAAAAATTTTAAAGTTGAAAAATCTCGTTTTTGAACACCCTATATCTTTGTAATCATTTTCGCTAGACCCCAAGTGTGATGCATTGATGAAATCAGCTCTTCAAGGAGAATCTAAAAATACAATGAAAAATAGGGAGTTCCTTTTGGAGAAATCAAATAATACCCTGCAGATCTCGTTTGTTCCGAGCACCTTGTATTTTTTGATGTAACGTAAAAAAAACTATCGAACATCATTTTAGATGATATTTAAAATTTTGCAATCGGTTCAAAAATAACTGAGCTAGAGGAGGGGGGACATTTATGGTGAATCACTCTGTACACCATCAGAATCCCTGGAATCCCACGAAATCCTACTGGAATCCCACGGAATCCCACTGGACTCCCACCGTCCACACCACTCAAAATACTGACAGGCACAACAAGAGGAAGGGTCCATTGGTGTCGGCTTCATTCTGTTCTGACAGATGACAGTTAATAAGGAAGGATAGTATACCATTGAATGCTCGATTGAATGTAGACGATAGTGATTCATTGATTCAATGATATTTTCGTTAAGGATCGAGCTCTATTCGAGATATGACAAAACCATAATCTGTCAG